GTATTAATATGAGTCCACTTGATAAATGTGGTGACATTTGTGATAATGTAGAAATAGCCTTCTATTCATCCTGTATAGAATAGTGTCAAAAGAGTATATACCCACCTCCTACCCAAATGTCTCTATTTGCCCAGGACCCAATCACTCTAATGGTAGCCCTTCAGAGTAATTTTGGAAAAGCAATAAAGCAAAATAATATTTTAGAAAACACATTTGGTTTCAATGCTGATGGGATTTATTGTTCAAGTTTCTGAATCCTATTGATTTTTCTGAAGTAATATCTAAAGCAAACTGCAAACTGTTCTGATTTTCTTTTTCTTTCTTTTCCCCAAGTTATGTCACTTGGCAGCTTCACAGACCCAAGCCTGAGAGGGTTCTCACAAAGAGCAAAAGACCCAAACACACCGTGGGGGGACAAGATTGGCCCAGAGTTGACCCAAACAGAGAGATCTGGGCCACATCTTCCCTTCCCCCACACCCCTGGAGGGTCTAATTTTAGTCTACTGCATAGACTGCAATGACAGGAACATGTTGCAAGAACAAGAATCAAGCAAAAGAGAAAAAAGGAAGCCTAATGTGGCAGGAGGCATTTTAATGCCATGGCAACTGGGTGTCTTCTCTCTTATTTCATTCACTTCCTCGGTCAGGTTATTCTGCCCTCTCTCTCCTGCACTTCCTGTTGCCGTAATCAAATCAAACCAGGTCACCCTGCATTCGTGAGCCCTCTCCCGACTGCAGACATCTATTTCCAGCAGAAGGAATTTTCCCCCTGTCTCCCTTTGCTCCCGGACCTCTTTGGGGTGCCCTTGATGTTCCTGCTTTCGCTGCCCTCCCAGAGCGGCTGCTGCAGATGCCTCCCTTTCATCCAGCCTCCTCCCCCACGCCCTTCTCCCCTTGCTGCTCCTCTCCCTGCCCCTCCCCCCAGCTCCTGCAGTTGTCACTAAGTCTGTTAGCCACTTGATTAGTGACTCAGTGATTCAGAGTCCGACAACCTTGGACTGAAATCCCCACGCCCTCCTTCCTTGGGTCAAGGTAAAGGGCCTTTTCGGGGACCCCCATCTCCCTGCATAAGAAGAAATGACTGGAGACTTGAATGCTGTCAGGGTTGCCCTGACTCCCTCCCCTTTCCTTTTTCTGCCCCTCCCTGGGCTTCCATGCTCTACTTAGCTTTCCCTGAGGAAAGCAGCAGAAAATGTTTGAGCTTAGAATTTATGTAGCCCAACATCCTCATTCGCAGATGGAAAGACTAAGGCTCAGAGAGCTTAATGGCCCAGTTGCTCAGTGAGCTCTTGGCAGAACCAAAATACATAAGGTGCAAATTCAATCCAACTAGCAATTGGTGGGAAATAAATTTTTATTAAGGAGTGAGCAGTGCCAAAATGGGACCTGATGACTACTTGAGAGTTCCTTCACTGTCCTTGTCTCCTTGTGGGTAATATTGGCAAATGGTGCAAACCCAAGCCAGAGTACCGACCAGAAATTTACCAGGGCACCTGGAAAGGCCCTGAGGAGACTCCCTAAAGCTGAGTCAGGAACATGCAGACATGGGAGACTCCATGCTTGAGGTCCTCCAGGATTTACTCACGGGACAGGATTAGCAGTCACAAGAGCCAATTCCAGTGAATCCACTTTTACTAAGTCTCCCCATGTGCTCAGCTGCACAGCAGTGAACGGACAGACTTGCTTCCCCTAAATGTAGAAAGGTGCAGAAAGTACAAAAAGCTTGCAGAAATATACTTATTGCAGGTTACATCAGTCTCTTAAGTAAATGAGTCGTGTAAGTTCTCTGTGGAAAGACATGGGTGGTAAAATGAATCAAATTAACTCAGTATCCTGATTGCTTGCTGCAATGGCAGAGAAACTTCTGTTTCCCAAGCTGAGTCTAAAGGGAGGGGACATATGGTTGGATGCAGTGATCATCGGATATGGTGAAAGCCAAGCCAGGGAAGCTCAGAAAAGTCACTCCGCAGTGTCAGTCTGCAGGCAAGGCCCTGGGCAGGGCCCAGATGCTGGAGTCCTGGGCAGTGCTTTTCGTCCCTGGCTGGGCTTGTCCCGGCATGCTGGGATCTGCCAGTCAGGAGCTCAGCCACACTGCTGCCAGCTGCAGTCACTACCGCTGCTGCACATTGTTTGTGATTAAGAGCTTTATTGATTTTCTAGCCCATGACCACGTTGGTGGGGACAGAGTACGACACGAGAAACTGGTGGGAAGCCAAGTGGAAAGAGGGTTTATGAAATGAGCTCTCAATGAAGGAAACTGTGGGGAAGGATGTGATGGAAGCCGATTTGGGGCCAGTGGAGGTGGGAAAGTAGAACAACTTGAAAATGCTCTCCAGTCTTGAGCCAAAACAAAACACTTTGCCAAAACACAGGCAGAGGAGCTAGTCTGTGAGAGAGACTCAGTACTGTTTATATAAAACAGGATATTCCTATCTGCAAAATCATCGCTGACAATGCTTAACCCACATTCACTACCAACCACTGTGTTGGGTTCTGGGGCTATAAATAAGAATCAGTCCGCCTAGGGAAGGAGACTCAGAACATACGCAAAATGACTTGTAAAGATGCTAGTATTTTTTAAGGGAGTCATAAAACATTTTGCCTAAACTCTGGGCCCAGAGCCAACAGATATGACTGATGAAGGATGAGAGATGGGACTGTCTGGCTACTGCCTGCCTCACCAGCAGATCTGGTGAAGGTCTTCAGGTGGCTTTTCCTCCCTTCTATGCCCACTCTGCCCAGAAGGCCCTAGTTGCTTCCCAGCAAGGCCCTAGCTGCTTCCTAGCCCAGCCCCTTGGGGGTGTATAGGAGGTTTGCTTCCCTGATGGGGGCTCTATGCTGGGTCCCAGGTGTTCTCAAAGCAGCAGATGGAAAGGCACTGGACAGAACCACACCAAGGGGACAACAGATGGACCTCCTTCTCTGAACCTAAGGACAGAGGCAGGACACTTGACAGAGTCTACCCCACACATATACCCACTCATATGAACCTGTATCTCTGAGAGCTTTCCTCCCATCCACCCTCCCCTACCCTGTATCCTTAAGTGTAAGGGGATAAATTATTTTCGCCTCTTCCTTTAGCTTTCAGTATCCTTTTTGCCCCTGAAAATAAACTGGGAACCGGGGAAGATGAGGCTCTGGTGTGGTTTTGTGTATCAGTACAATAAGAAAAGCAATGATATATAAAAATGGAATTTAAAAAAAAAAAAATGTCACATAACTCAAAACCAGGGAGTGACCAAGATCAGTGAATGTCAACTTAAAAAAAAATAAAATCTTGTACATGTGGTTCACATTTGAACATGATGTGACCTGGGGTGGCCCTTTCATCATTCTCTGCAAGAATGCCTCTCCCTGTGAAGGCCTGAGGCCCGGGTATCCCCACCGGAGGACTTTATGGAGGTCAGCCCTCAGCAGAAAGATTTCAGGGAGGTCTAACTAAGCTGGAAAAACTCAGAATGGCCTAACCTGAGCCAGAAGTCCCCAGAGTGGTCCAGCCTAAGTTAAAGGTCCTCAGAATAGCCAAACCTAAAACCCCAGGAAGCTTTAAAGTACAGTTTGAATCTCTAGCAGTCAGGAGGAGGAATTTGGGTATGCAGGGGTGACAGGTTGGCTTTGCAGTTAGTGTCCTAACTCCTGCATCAGGATCCACCCCTCTTTCCAAAAGTCAAAGAGGGCTGAGACGCCTGGGGCAGTGGCACAGGGCTACAGTCCCAGCTACTGTGGAGCCTGAGGCAGGAAGATTTTAAGTTCGAGGCCAGCCTGGGCAACTCAGTGAGACCCCGGTTCAAAATTAAAACAAACAAACAAAACTACTCTAAGGGCTGGGGGGATAGCTCAGTGGTAGAGCACCTAGCATGCCTGAGGTCCTGGGTTCTACCTCCACTCCCCCCCCCCCCCCCAAAAGAAAGCCGAGGTGGGAGGGGGGAATTTGAGGCCCTAAAATTCCTGGCAGTTGATGGGGTTAATATCCCTAGCATTGTTCTCTTTTTCACTGAGGAAAAATTGAATTAAAAAAAAAAAAAAGAGCCAGCAATACTCATTTAAAAACAAAAAAACTGGCATTCAAACACCGAGCCAAAAAAAGGAGTGGTCTCCTGGGTGATGGAAGTACTTCGAAATCTCTAAAGCCTCGTTCATTGTTCAGAAAACAAAATGGAACAACTTTCCTCGCTCCCCGCCTCACCCGCTTCCTCTCTGTGCAGTAGCTGTTCTTGGCAGATGCCCAAAGCGGCACCCGGTAATTCCACGGTACATTGTGTACATTTGCATCCATTTAACCCGCTATTTACTGCCGCCCTTTACCGCCACCTGTAAGAGGCAGCACCATAATGACACTGTGGATAAGTGGCTGGGCCGTGAAGTGGGTGCCCAGTGGTTTTCTCCACTCGAAGGCGCCTGAATCTGTGAAGTAGTTGGCACTTGGAGAAGCAGGGACAGCTGGGGACAGCACACGTACAGGACGGGAAGCGCGAGAAGGAGGCGCGCCAGACGGAGGGTCCTTCCTCGTTAGCTCCGCTCGGTGGCTCCTTTTCCATGACTACAACCGCGAGGAGGAATCTGCCAAGCCCTCGGTGCGGCTAGTTTCCTGCCTGATAAAGAGCCTGCTGCCGTTGGTATTCGAGGCGTTTCTGAATCACCCCAGGGCCTGACGCTCCGAAGGAAGGTGGATCCTGGGGGCCCTGGGGTGGGACCCACAGTCCGGCGGAATCCAGGCGGGATGACACCCCCTCGAGTCTCGGAAACCGGCTCGCGGGTGCGATGCGGGGCCGTGCGGGCAGCTGCGCTCTTGTGCCTGCCGCACTGTGCAGCTCCGGTGGCACACCGGGTGACGCGGGGGCGAGGGCGAGAGGAAGTCGAGGCGCCGGGGCGGCAGCAAGGCTTCCTCGGCTTCCCTTGAGCTTTGGAGGTTGTCCCGAAGTGCGGGGAGGGAGGGGGCACTGCACTGCGGAGTTCCAAGTTGCGGGAGACCCCCAGAGGGCGGGTACCCTGAGGTCTTGAATGCACGTAAGAAGCCCGGAGCTGCCAGGACCGTGTGGCACGCTCGGAGCGCGCAAAGTCGCGCAAAAGCAAAAAGATAAACGCCGAGGGGCCCAGGGACCGGCTGGCTGGGGCACAGAGTCAGCGCGGCCCCGGAGCGCCTTTCGTTTTAAGGAGCCTTACTTCTGGGAAGGGACAGGGAACTGTCAATCAGCGAGGGAGGGAGCGCACCAGCGCTGGGTGATGTCAGCGGATCAGCTGCTCGATAACAAAGAGGGGGTATCACAGGAGAAAGTTGCAGCGGTGGCGGCCACCGCGGCACCCCAGAGCCTCGGAGGCCAGGGGCAAGTGGGCGAAGGGAGGGGGGACGGCTGCTGCGGCAGCAGCTGAAGGCCGAGGAATTGAAAGGGCTGTAGGGGGAGGCAGTGCGAGCCAGCCCCGACTGCTCCTCCTCTTCCTCCTCCTCCTCCAAACTCGCAGGGCTCAGCCCCAGCGCTCGCTCAGCCGCCGGGAGCACCCGGAGGGACGGGAGGCAGCCGCGCGGCCCCGAGCTGGGCAGGGTCCCCGGCCGCCATGGATAGCGACGACGAGATGGTGGAGGAGGCAGTGGAAGGTACAAGCATTTCTCCGGGACCGGGGAGGACACTCCTAGGGCCCGGAGCGCCGAAGGAGTGGCGGGCTGCGACCTGCGCGGTGCCGGGCCCCGCGGCAGCCACTGTCCCCTATGCGGGTGGAGGGCTGCCCTGATCGGGCGGGGGCCGGACAGCTACGGCCACGCTGCCGGGAGCTCACCGTTCGCGGCGGGGCGCAGGCCGGGAATGGGGCTCACTGGGCCGGGGGCCCTGGGAATGCACCGTGGCTTCATCCCGCCCGGCCACAGCCTGCATCCTCCCTTGGAGTTGCTAACCTGCCCTGCACTCTGGTCTTTCCCCTCGCGGGGATGGAGGGTAGGGTACCCTGGAGGTCAGCGACCTGGTTGTCCCCGCGGAGCAACCCCCCTGTGCAGTTTGGGCAACCTCGATTCCCTCTCCGGCCAATAGCCCTTTGCTTCCGTTCGCCGCTGCGCCCCGCGGCCACCGCGGCCGCCACCGGGTGGGTCCCCCAGCGCCGCGCACCGGGCCGAACCTGGCACGTGGCGGCAGCGGCGGCTCCTCCAAAAGGATGAAATCATTGCAGGGTACTGGACCACGCTTCCGACCCCGGGCTCGATCATGCGAGGTCGGGGAGGCGGGTGGCCCTCCCTTCTGCTTCCCCGAGCGAACTCTGTCAAGCCCCCCTCCCCCTTCCTGCTTCCGAGCCGGGGTGTCGCCGCCGCCGCCACGCTGTGCGGGCGCGTCGCAAACCCCGACCGAAATTGCTGGGTGACACTTAACTTTCTGAATTCCTTGCAGTTGGCTGTGGGTGATATCACCACCGCGGTGTCGTGTTTCTCCGCCCCTTCTCTTCTGGCGCCCCTCCCCCGACTTTCCTTGCCACTTTGTTTTGCTGAGTTTCTCCACCTCTTTTTTGCTAGTTCTGAAAAACGCTGTGGGGACGTTATACAATCTCGTTGTTTGTGTCATCAGATGTTATGATTTTGTAACACTGAATACTGGAAAATACTCTTTAGCGTATTTATTCGATTCTACCCTAAACCGTGCGTCGTGATGTTTTGCAATGTTGTGTGTGGTATTGTTCCAGAATATTTTAAACAGCATCCCAGCAAATAATTTTTAGCTATTGGTTGAATCTTGTTTCTATCTAATTTGTATAAACAAATTCTCACAAACAATTAAAAACTAAAGTGGCAAGGCTTTACAAATGCATAAGGATGCATGGTCAGTGCTACAGTAGGAAAAAATCAAATTTTATGATTTCATAAACATAATTCCTATTGCAGTGCTCTTGAAGGAGATTAATCAGAGTGATATTTATGAATTCTCCAAAAGGTATTCAATCTGATGTAAATATTAAAACTTATTATTTTTTTTCATCTAGGTTCAAAGGCAATTAGTATGCTTTTTAACTTTAGAAAATTTTCACAATATTGTGAACTCAGAGCTTGTACCCCTTAAGTAAACTTAATGTTGGAACTTAGTGGGACCCAAAGGCATTGATTGAGTTGGTCCACAAGACTTTGAATTAAGTTACTGACTTCTTCTGCCTCTGTCATGGGGGGAAAAAATGCTCTTCTCAAATTAGGGCTTGTTAGGGTTTACTCTTATTCCTCAAAGTTTACTTTTACTTTTTACTTGTAAAAACCCTGATCACAGATGAAGCCTCCTTCCCCTCTGGTCCTGGGGGCCTTTTGCAGAATGTTAAGGAGGCTTTCAACATGTATCTATGTTGTTTTTGAGATAATCTCCTGGATTAGAAGCAGGGAAGTTTCCTTTTATCATCGGGAAAGGCAGTTATACAGGTTGAGCATATACATTATTGTCCTAAATCAGAACACTCCTGAGAGCAAGAGCGGGCACTATTAATAATTATGCTCGGACAACTGGCTTAAACCTTGACTATCTTGGGCAATCTGGGACACACACTCAGTGGCACCTAACACTAGACAATTAGATTAACTTTAAATTTTTAAAATTTTAATTTATTTTTTTCCTATGGTGCTAGGGATCACACCCAGCGCCTGCTATGTAAATATTCTATCACTGAGCTACATTCCCAGTCCTAGAATAACTTTTGATATTTAAAAGTCCTTAGAGAAGCCAGGTATGGTGGTGTATGCCTGAAGTCCCAGCTGCTCTGGGAACTGAGGCGGGATCACTTGACAGTTCTAGGCCAGCCTGAGCAACCTGGCGAGTCCCTGTCTCAATAAAATAAAATAAATAAATAATAATGAGCTGTCAGGCTCAAATTTGCAGGATGTCTAAAGCTCTGTTTGTGCTCCTGGCAAATTGCACCCTTGGGCTTTTCTCAGCAATTGTTGGCCTTTTTAGTGCTTGTGCAGTGGTCTCTGCTTAACATCTAACACAGGTATAAGATATAAACTGTTCATGACCTTCTCCCAAAGAGAAACTAGTCTGAATATCTTGGTGTTCAACTAATCTACCTCTCTCCATAAACACAGCCTCTCTGCTCAGAAGTTCATTGTCTTAGCTATTATTATCGTTGCTATAATTTTTTTGTTCTTATTATGTGGAAGTTCTGTGCTCAGTGTTTCGCACATATTATCCATTCAGTCTTATGAGACAGGTACAAATATTCTAATTTTACTGAGGAGGGGAAATGAGACATAGAGAAGAACTAATTCAAGGACATTTAGCAAGGGGGAGGGACAGGCTGGACTTCCCCTCCACTATACCAAACTGTCTCCCCACATAGTTTTAAATTTTTGATCTGTCAGTCAACTATATGAAGTACTTGGGTGTTTGAGTTGAGAAACAGCTAAATATTATGTCAACATCGTTCTTTATCAGAATAACTCTTCAGAGGTTTTTCTGACAGAGTTCAGTGTCTCAGAATAATGCATCTGGGAAAGATAATTTCATTTCAGCCTCTGCCACAGGAATTCTTTCTCCTCTCCCCTCCCCCATTAAAGTGTACCCTGGGAGAGAAACTGATCTCTTGAGGACTTGAGTTTAAATGTCTTGTGCATCATATACAATTTGGATCTCTATCAGGGTAGAATTGTAACCTAGTGAAGTTCTAAACTCAGAGTGAATGAATTCCCAGAGGGGAAATGGGGGTGTCAGGAGGGAGCAGTCTTTGCACTTCTGCCTGCCCTGCTCCTTTGGGTAAACAACAAGCTTTGAGACCCGGAGGCTGAACTTGAGCTCTCTCTGTGGCTTTTTATTTTTATTTTAAAATTTTTATTATTATGACTTTTGAGACAGGGGTCTTGCTATGTTGCCCAGGCTGGCCTCGAACTCTGGGGCTCAAGTGATTCTCTTGCCGCAGCCTCTGGATAAGCTGAGATGAGGTGCATGTCACTGCTCCTTGTTCTCACTGTGGTTTTTTAAAACATTAAAAGTCTAGTTTGTTCAGTGGAGAGTGATGTTTAGCTTTCATGTGTTAGTTTTCATCAGGGGCTTTGGAAACATTTATTTTTCTATTTCTTTGTCCACCAATAGATGGAAATGAATACAATGTAGTCCCTATTAGCAGTTTAACATTGTAGCATGTCTACATAGATGGATCTCAGTGGTTGAGAGGAAGTAACAATTACTTGTAGCTTGGGGAAGTAGAGGGGGAAAGATTTCCCCCAAAGAGGTGGCACAGAGTTGAGTTGAGAGGAAAACTTTGAAAGTAAAGACATCCCACATGGAACTACTGGGGCCCATCCAGAGAATCATTTTGTGGGATCTGCTGTAATATTGGGCTTAGGAGAGAAGTGGAGGGTGCCTGAGGGAGGGGAGCGTGGGTCACAGGACCAGAGGATGACAGCTGGAGGCCACAGGAGCTACCCTTTGGAGCTCTGCTCTGGACAGTGGTAAGCAGGGACACTGGGAGGGGCTGAATGGGCAGCTGAATGTCACCTCATAGGCCCCTTGCAATGGTCCAGGTGTGCAGTTATGAAGCAGGAAAAAAAACAGGAAGCCCTGGAAACGCCTAGGAGACACCAAGGAAAATTGCTCAAAAGGGGGAAAGAGCAGAATCCCCAGAACAAGGGACCAGGATGAAAACAGCTGCTCAGAGTTTCCCTACCCAGCGCCCTCAAAACAGTAATATTTCTATTAACAGGCCACCCAATAGCCTGTCCTGGCTTCTGTAATAAGACTACCCACGCTGTGTTCCTAGGACAAATGCATGCTCAGTGTACTGGTAGCACCCTCTCCCTGTGGGCCACGTGCTGAAATTATGACCCTCACAACTAACAGTTGAGCTCTTGCAGTGAATTGCCCTTAAAAATCAAATTATATTTTTAACAGCCTGTGTGAGTGTATCATCAGGAAGGCTTTTTTTTTTTTTTTTTTTTTTTTTTTGTTTTTTTTTTTTTGCATTATTATTAGAATAAGCTTGGCTTTTATTATTACTACTTTTGGAGGACTATGTAAAACCCTCCAAAAGTAGTAATAATGTGGAAGGGTCTCTTGTTTTGAGGAAACCCACACTGCACTCCCAGATCCCTTGTGAGCCTGAGGCAGTCAGCAGCAGAGTCTGATCTGGAGGGAATTTCCTTTGCTGAGGCAAACATTGCTGGCAGAGTAGAGGCCTGGCTTCTATCAGGTTCAGGGGAAAAAACCTTACTCAAAAGTAACTCAAGGGGAAATATTTAACTTTCTATCCATTCAGTAGATAATGATCTTTAGAACAAAATGAAAAAGTAGACTTGTGAAATTGTTGCTTTTTCTTTTCCTTTCTCTAATGCCTATAAATATTTAAAATCATGCTGCAGACGGATATACGGTGGATTAGCTGGGGCAGCATTAAAAACACAGAGCAGTCATTCAAGTTAATTTCCCTGTCCTCTGGGCCTGGTGCTCACCCTCTGTGTAGTGGAAACTGGCCTGGAAGGCTGTTGGCTGACCTGGCACATTCTGCAGACTGACCTCAATCAGAGCTGGGGGGACGAGGGCTTCTCTTTAAGTTAGGTAACACTGGCAAGGGACAGGAATTGACAACCTGGACATGCTGTTGAAAATCTCCGCAGTTCTAGGAGGATTACCTTCTCTACCAGGGCCTTGGACACGCCTGTCTTTCGTAGTGACACCTTGTTCTATAGCAGCCAGGAAGAAAGAGTGCTCAACACTCCTCCCAAGAGAAGAGGAATTGTTGGCCTTGGGGGAAGGGCTTGCAGCATTCATAGACAAGTCATGTGTCATTGGTGTCCTCAACGGAAATAGGTGGAAATCTAGAAGATTGTTTTGAGGTTTAAAGTGATAACAGGATACACTTGACCCAGTGGGTTCTTCTTCTGTTTATCAACATCCTACTTCATTAAATTGACTCTTCGTAGGACTAGAGGTGGGGTAAAAGGGTACAGAATTTGCTTGGCACACACAAGGCTCTGGATTCCATCTCCCACACTGCAAAAATTAACTAAATAAGACTATCACTGACATGACAAAATATCATAAATCATATTATCTAAAGGACATTTGAAATGAAATCATGCTGGAATCTCTCATAGAACTAATGCTAAAAGGAAATGGAGGGGCATAGCCACCCAATTTCTTATGTTCCCTGTGTTTATTTGTTTGGAAAAGTCTTTGTTGTTATTGTTTTGGTTGTTTTCTAGATGTAAAGTTTTACTGCTCAGGAAAAATCCCCTGAGCTATTAAATATTCAGGGTGGAAGTCTTGAATGATCACAGCCTCTAATTTCTAATGCTATTAGTTGATCATATCCTGATGAAATGGAAAAAAACAAAAAACCATAGCCAGTCAAGTGGGGCATCCCTGAGCAGGACTTGTGGGTCCACACCTGTCATCCCGGCTACTCCAGAAGCTGAGGCAAGAGGATTCCAGACCAGCCTCAGCACCTTAGAGAGACCCTGTCTCAAAATAAAAAGGGTTGGGGATGTAGCTCAGTGGTAAAGCACTTGCCTAGCACCTTGCCTAAACATGTACAGTATATTTAGCTACACATTGGGTCCATCCCTAGTACTGTGAAAAGAAGAAGAAAAAAAAAAAAAGAAATAAAGAAAAGAAGGAGGAGGGGAAGGGGGAAGGGTAGAGGAAGGAGAAAGAGGAGAACGAGACCCCAGTGTGCTTTGAAAGATTTCAGAACTCCCCCACCAGCAACATAAAAACCTTAAGAATGACAGGGAAGGGTCACACACCCATGCACCTTCTTCTAGAATCACAAGATCACCTGAGAAATGGCCATCATTCAGTATGTCCCTCTCTCTCTCCTAAGAGATTAAAAGGATGATGGGACTCCTCTCCGCTGGCCTGTTGAAAGGCACCAACACAGGCATCCCTCGTGGAGCAGGGTTGAGCCTCTGGTCATCTCACCTGGGATCAGTGCTGACCTCTATGCGCTTTTGGTGTGTCATCTGACATCTTCCATTTCCCTAATAGTTCAGTTCCATTGCTGAGGGTGAACCGTGAGCACTGTATTCAGAAATAGGACAGGCTAGAGGGAAAGCAGGGTGCATTTACATTGGAATTAGTGTTCATGTTTATCATAATATTTCTCTTGATCTAAAGTGAAATAACAGATTTATCAACATGGACTGTGTAAAGTGTGAAATGTGTGAACTAATTTCTATGAAAAAAAAGCATTTTCAACAAATTAGTAAATATCTCATATGAGGCTAACCTGATTATTCTGAACTTTATACCCAATTCAAAATAGGACATTAAATTTTTAGGAACTTTAGTGGCTAAATTTAATTTTATCCCAACAACATTTTCATAAAAAAAAAAAAAAAAAAAAAAAAACCTTTAGCTATTGTACACTGAGTGGATTTTTTATGAAAAGAAAAAAAGTAAACAATCTGTTTCAGTGAGAAAAATGTCATCAGTAGATATTTAGAAAACACTATCCACATATTTCATATGACTCAAGGATCATGTACCATTGGTTTTTATATAAAAAAGAAAGCACTTATGACCTAGTTCCCTCCTGACAATTGATTTCCTGGCCCTGGTGGAAAAAGCATATGTTAAGAGGAAAGGGACTATCTTGATTGTCATGTATTTAAGTAGTCATGTCTTACTGTACACGTTCAGCGAGACCCATTTTATGTGGAGTCAGATGTATTGATCTGTTGGCTGTTATTTTATCCTTCTGTAATCAGTAATAGAACTAAGGAGCATTTTAATTCTTTGTAATATTCTTAATTTTTTTTTTCTTTTGTGGTGCTGGGAATCAAATCCAGGACCTCACGAATGCTAGAACAACCATCTACCACTGAGCTACAGCCCAGCCTGATAATATTCTTTTATCATGCTAGAAGAAATTATTTTAGGAGATGAAAACATTCCTTGTGGTGGTTTGGTATGTTTTCTCCTGTCTGTGCACCATCTGGAAGCCACATTTTAGTATTTAATGTCCTGTGCTGCACACGGTGTGTAATGTCTCTATTCCTTTTCCATCCATGACCCTGGTTGTTAACCCAGGAAAAAGCCAGTAGAGTAATGACTGCCCTTATTTTCACCCAGCTCTGCAAAATCAGTTTGTCAGAATGAGTGGGGAGACCCCAGGAGGTGATCCCTGGGGTTTGTGAAATATGTAGATAGTAATAAAGAACTGAAACGTGGACTGCAAACATATACATTAGAATAGACCGCCTGGGATCCAGGAAGAGTCAGCAATTGAAAGATCTGGGTAATGACTACTGCTGAGGTTCAAGATCACTAGTGAAATGGCTTTGTGGACACTTCTGCCTCCATTTAGAATACAAACCCTCTGACACACAGTGGTAGGGGGTATGCAACAAGGTTGTTGCTAAACATTCAAAGCTGAATGATTTTGCAAAATAAAACAGGTTATGCTCAAGTTTGAGCTTAGAAGTACTGTCAGCCAGTCATGTGTGGTGGTGGCACATACCTGTAATCCCAGTGACTCTGGAGGCTGAGGCAAGAGGATTGCAAGTTCAAGGCCAGCCTCAGCAATTTAGCAAGGTCCTCAGCAACTTATCAAGACCCTATCTCAAAATAGAAAATAAAATGTGCTGGGGATGTGGATCAATGGTAGAGCACCTCTGGGTTCAATCCTCAATACCAAAATTTAAAAAATTTAAAAAAGGACTCTCAGCCAATGAGGCTGTGTATGAATAGAAGGGCAGTTTTAGAGACATGACTCTCTTTCTTGTTATCTGAGCATAACATGTAAACTTGGGGGGGTCTCAGAAAGGCTGTAGTCCTCCACATCATAAAACAGAATGATATATAAAATCATACTGGGTACTTTAAAAACTCAAGAATTGGATAATTTATTGCCAAGATAATGTATCTAGCGATACACTCTAACAATGACTCTGAACCACATTTCAGTTAAGCACAGAGTTTCTTTTCAAACATGAGAAGATCTAGTGTGTGTGTGGGGGGGGGGGGGGGGGGGGGGGGTAGGTGGTACATTGTAGCCAGCACTGCAGATCTTATTGATAATAGCCCTCAGTCCCACATGAGATGCAAGCCTATTTAAATTTCATATTCTGAAATGTGGCCAAGTCCCTGTAGACCTGTTAGTTCACAAGTGTCCATGATCCAGTGGGTGCCACCAGTGTGAGCGAATTGAGAAAGCTTTGCATGTTTGACCACCTGGTACCGAGGAAGGGGTCCTTGGGCAACCCCAGGACTTGCCTGGCAGCATCCGGGCTGACAGTGGTGGGGAGCCCAGACTCTGTTAAGCTTTGCCTTGTGGTTCTTTCCGCAGGACACCTGGATGACGATGGATTGCCGCATGGGTTCTGCACAGTCACCTACTCCTCCACCGACAGATTTGAGGGCAACTTTGTTCATGGAGAAAAGAATGGACGTGGGAAGTTCTTCTTCTTTGATGGCAGGTAGCACTCACTGTTTTGTTTTTTGTTTTGGAGGGAACTGAACTATTTCACATGAAGGAATGATACAAATGAAAGAATTCCAGTGGAAATTTTTGTACAACTTATATAAAAGGTAAAAAGGTAACCCCAATATGTATGTGCTGCTTTGGTGGCTGAGATGTCACCCCGGTGGCTATCGGGAAGCCACTGTCAGGTGTGCAAAGCCCATGATGGATCTGTCTAGCTGATACTCTGCCCTGCCAGATTCAGGGCCCCACATCTTGCACAAGTTCATTCATTACATGGTCACCCAGTTCTCTGATGGATCTCACCTGATCATTCAAGTACTGTGATGCATCTCAGTGAGGTCACACAAGTGCAGGTCACTTCTGTTGGTGGCCAGTTTGGGCAATTCCATCAGAGAGTGATTCCATTTCTTCTTAGTGTAATGAGCACACCTGCCTTCAGCCTACTCTGTCAGCAGTTGTGGTTTCTCAATTCGGCTGCCTGGGTGACTCCTTAGCTTCATCCCTTCCTTACATTCCCTCTCCTGACGAGGTTGCTGAAGAATACATCTGGCAAAACCCTACAAAGCCACATCATCGCAGTTCAAGAAGTAAGACAATGGGGTAGACAGTGGGGTACAGAGCTCTAGACTCACGGCACGCTAGATGCCTGCCTTTGGGATAATTGGTCCTTCTATGTGATTCCGTCACACTGATGTCTGTGCTAGTATTTTCCATGGTTTACCTGTAGTCAAAGCACTTTCACTTGTACCACCTGGACAAGGTATGTCACGTCTCTTCTTGCTTCCTTTCATAAGGATGCCACGTGGCAGAGGCTGTTTGCCCTCCTGTGATGGCCAGGTGTGACTGGAGGACTTTTCTCTTTGAGGGAGAGATAGGGTTCCATGGGCCCCCCTCTTCAGCAAGGTCTTCTTCCATGTCAGCTTCAGAAGCAGTGAATTTCTCAAGCAGTTAAAGAAATCTATTATCAGACCCGTCGAGTGGGAAATACAGAAAAGACTTCGCTAAGGTTACAGGAGCGTGTGGGTGATGGCACCCTTTACTACACCCCTGGCATTGGTGATGCGCCAGCACTTTCTAAATTTGAGGAAAGGGGATGTCTAGCTGGCAGCTGAAGGGTGATCCCAGGCACTGGCATGCCACCACAAACCTTTTTTTTGAAATGCTGTGGGTTGATTTCAGAGATGACAATTGTTCCTCCATTCTCTGATATAAGAAAGTGAGGAACGCAATAAGAATTGACCATAGGACTTTTGTAAAGTTTTATTTCAGGAATTGGGGATTTGGCTCAGTGCCTGGCAAGCAGAAGGCCCTGAGTTCCATTCTTGGCAGTGGAGAAAAAAAGTTTCATTTTAATGACTAATGCCACCCTTTCCTTTCCTATTGTCCCCAACCCCTCACCCCACATGATATTTGTCAGAATTCTGCTTTCACGCTGTCAATGTAAAACTGGCCAGGTAGCTCTCTTCTCTTCTTTCATCCTAATGGGAATGCCCACTGGAGACCTGGCCAAGGTGCTGGTCTCCCTCGTGCCTGGCAACCTGTCCAGAGGGCGGCTTTTCCCACCCATTTCCACCGCAGCTGGCGTAAAGTTCTTTTTCTTGACAGTCCCGTTTCACCTTATACTGCAAGCATTCTCCTCTCTCTGCGACCACTTACATGAATGTCTTCTTTCGGCTGCTCCATATCCAAGGACAGAGATTTCCGTGGGCCAGATTCTATGTCTATAACGTCTCTTATGCTCCATAGCACTTTCCCTTGATTTGATACTAAAATCAAAACCGTAATAGAGTCCTTGCTGAGTAGGGAGCTGAAAGAAAAGTGTGGAATTCGCCCAAAACGCACCTCCCCCCAGGCTTCCCCAATCTGATAGTTTGATAATTATAACCAGTGACTGAAAACGGCCCAACAGATTCGGTTAAAGTTGGTGATTTGGTGTTGGTTACCTTCTTGCCTCACAGATCTGATACACAAAAGTACTGATGGTCCAGACCCAGTTTCTGAACCAGAATGCCAAGAACGAGCAGGATGTCGCCCCCGGTTTGCTGAGCAAGGCCTGAGCCTTCATGAAGACCAGGCCCCATGAGCTCCAGCCACTGACCCAGTGGGCCACACACATGCAGAAATCTCTCTGTGTGTGTGTGTGTGTGATGACATGAAAACTTCAAAGCACGGGGTCAGGTGGAAGCCCAGACCCTCCAGCTAGAAATAAATTCATTGACTCTTTTTTTTCCTTCTCAAGGCTCCCATTCACTAATTTCCATACCTACCACTCAAGTATTGCCAGTCAGGGTGGTGCAGGCCTAGAATCCCAGCCACCTGGGAGGCTGAGGCAGGAGGATTTCAAGTTCAAAGCCAGCCTCAACAATTTAGTAAGACCCTAAGCAACTCAGGGAGACCCTGTCTTTAGATAAAATATTTTTTAAAAGGGCTGGGGATGTGGTTCAGTGGTTAAGAACCCCTGGGTTCAATCCCTGGTACCAAAAAAAAAAAAAACACAGTATATTGTTGGCAAGGATGTCGGGGGGGGGGGGGGGGGCGGAGGGGGGGCCTGGTTGATCTTCAGAGAGGCCAGGTGGTTATTGCACATGAGAATCTATGCAGGGAGAGGCCCTCAGAAGGTCACTGTCATCCTTCATAATCCCAATACATGTCTTGATGTGAAATGTCTGCTAAGAGAATTTTCTGCAAAAATTAGTGAGCATCTTATGACTGAAACAAAGGCTGTGGAATCTATTGCGTCTTTTAAGAAGGTATAGTTTTGGTGGGGTGTGGCACACGGGAAGCCATTTATTTCTACAGGGGCAGCATCTCTATTTACATTTATCTGTTAATATTTCCTCCCTGTTACCGCTCCTGATTATTAGGATCTATATGTTGTTAAAAATATGTGGGGGTGGGGGTGGGGCTGGGGTTGTGGCTCAGTTGGTAGAGTGCTTGCTTAGCACATGGGAGGTGCTGGGTTTGTGTCCATTTATTACATATATATATATATATTTTTTTTTTTTTTTTTTTAATTAAGTGGGACTCTACAGTCAAGGCCTTTAGTCAGTCAAGGCCTTTAGTCTTGAAATATTCCCTGCAAAAGTCTGAAATCAAGCTTTTGAAGTAAAGGTCAGGAAACAAAAAGTTTTGTTAAAGAAACTTGCTTAAACCTCTAGTGCTGATCTATGATCCCAATAAAGGGTTCCTTTGCAATTGTAGAAACCTGTGTTTGGAAAGCAAGAAGGAAAATCACAAAATGTAGTAACAGAAGATGCATTTTTAGTCTTATATGAAACCTGAACCCAGATGTGCAATCATGCGAAGGGCTCAAATGAATGTGAAGAAAATTTTAGAATCAACTTTCCCCTTGACATAGAATATAATAAGCCTGATTAAGAACAATAAGCATCCACATTTACAGGAGAAATGATCTAGTTAAAATTTTTAACCAAGTTCCTAGAGAGAAGCAGAATATTTTAAAGGTTAAAAATATAGCAAATGCTTGGTGGATTAAAACTCTTCAGAATCACAGAAATGTAAAAAAGGGTTCCTTTTTTTAAACCCCACCCCTACCCCATGTCACCAAGGTGACCACTGTTGACAGAAAAGGTGAGCATCTTTTTTTTTTAACATTTATTTTGAGGTGTAGGTGGACACAACACAATGCCTTTATTTTTATGTGGTGCTGAGGACCAAACCCCGGTCCTGCCTGTGCTAGGTGAGCGCTCTACCGCTGAGCCACAATCCCAGCCCCAAGGTGAGCATCTTAAGGGTGCTCAAGGTAAAAACAGAAACAGCTAGCTATCGCTAAATCAGCTGAAAGAAACAGAACGGTCGTTGTTCTCCCCTTCCCTACTGTCTCAGCTTCAGAAAGTTTGCAGGTTTGTATACATAACCAAGACTTGGTCGTCCCTGTATTTGTGACAAAATGTGCAACAGGAAAGCTAAGTTACTGGAACTGGCTGGTTAAGTTGGAAACCTAGGTTAGACCACTCATCCTTCACCTGACAGTTTATCCCCAGAATGAGGAAGGAATGGGAAAATTAACTAGTTTTTTTTTTTTTAATTGTCTTTTAAAACAGCTATTGTTTTCCATTTTACTCTCTCCTTAAAAGAGAGAAGAAGCCAGTTACAGTGGCACACACCTGTAATCCCAGCAACTCAGGAGGCTAAGGCAGGAGGATCACAATTTTGAGGCCAGTCTCAGCAATTTAGGGAAACTCTATCTCGAAAAAATAAAGAGGGCTGGGGATGTAGCTCAGTGGTAAAGCATTCCTGATCTCAATCACCAGAATCACCAAAAAAAAAGGGGGGGGGAGAAAAAGGGAGGGGAGAGAAGAAACTTTTCCTAAAATTAAGTAATTGGGATTTCTTCTTAATATCATTCTGGTTCTAAGGTAGAGGCACATGTGTGGGAAGGTAAACGGGATCTCGAGGCATTGTTCGTGTGGATCTGGAATCTGGCACTAGAGGATTTATGGGAGTACTAAGGGATATTAGGAAAATATCTAATATTTTGATGTATACATCTCTAATCTTTATAATTCCCCAATTCTGGATGTTTATTATCATGTATTTTTCTTTAATTGTTCTCACTTCAACCAAGATTTATGGATCTCAAGGCAGAATTTGTCACTGTCCTAGAATGGTTAGAAGAGGAGGAAGTTCCAGTTTAGATTGGCTTTCTTTTGGGCTTTGGGATATTAGGGAATTGTTTCTTAGCCTGAGAAAAAGATGAGTTAACTCATTTGCTCATATCTATGTATGCACACGTACACATGTAGATATATGAGTAATATATAAAATAGTTACAAATCTATAATGCATCATGTGTTGTTTGCTGTGTAAACATGATGCTTCTCCTTGACATGCCAGTTAGATTTCAAAGTATTAATTTCCCCATGACTTCATTCTGTGTCCAAGTCATCTTCTGATGTTGCTTGCTACACTGGTGCTTCCAGCCAAGAGAGCTCCTTGTAGTTTATCACTGGCCCAGTAACCTGAACGAGG